GGGCAGGGGGATTCCGCCCTCCGCCTCTCCTCCACTCCGGACGGCGTGGACCACAGCGAGTCCGCTGCTGGCGCTGAAAGCGCGCAGGGCACCGGAGGCCCCGCCCCTGGCCCGTCCATCAATCTCCACGGCAGGTCTCTCGGCCAATAGGACCTCGCCTCCCTGCCCTGGACCAATAGAAAGCGCTCTTCTCGGGCGGGGGCGGGATGTTGGGCGTCACTCTCCGCTGCTCGTGGGGCAGACCAGGCCAGGCGTTGGGACCTGGAGGACCGACCAGGGAGGGGCAGGAGGACAAGGGAGCTCCACCAGCCCCTGACGTAGGGACACAGCCTTCTCCTGCAGAAGGGCCCCCATTTCCCTAAGTAGGTCTCCCCAAGTCCGGGAGGGGCCTCCGTTTTAAGAGGAGGGGTCTGCCGCCCCATAGATTCCCCCAGATCCAGGGACTGGATCTTTCCTTGGCCACGCTCGTCCCGGTCTTTGCAACAACATTAGGTGCCTATGTCCTGTCGTCGTTCCCAGCTTACAGGTGGGGAAACTGCGGTTCGGAGCCCGAAGACCTGTGCCCAAGGTCTCCCACTATGACTAGTGTATCTCCTCGGCTCTAGGGCAGGACTTAGCCTCCGCCCTGCTGACATTTGAGGTGGATGATCGTGGTTGTGGGGGCCGTCCTGGTCACTGCGGGGTGTGGAGCAGCATCCCTGGCCCCCACCCACTCGATGCCAGGAGCGCCCCCAGTCGTGACGACCGCAGCTGTCCCCAGACATCGCCCAGTGTCCCCTGGGGGGCTGAGCCCCCCTGGGTTAGGGGACTCCACTGACTTTCAGGAGACTCTGTTCCATAACCATCTGACCACTGAGGTCCCAGGAAGCTGCCCACATTCAAATACACACACTGAGTGGGAGGGAGAGAGGAAGTGACTCACGGACGCTGGGGGTCACCCTGGTTTGTACCATCTGATCATCGGGGATTTATTCTGGTGTCTATTGTGAGCAGGGATCGGAATCAGCTTTTTTCCTTGTAATTGATGTAGGGTCTCTCTCACTTGGCACTATTGATATAGGGGCCGGGTCATTCTCTGTGGGGCCGTCCTGAGCACTGTAGGGTATTGAGCAGCATCCCTGGCCCCACCCACTCGACGCCAGGAGCACCCCCAGTGTGACAACCACAGATGTCCCCAGGCATTGCAAATATGGTGGTGGCAGAGGGGGACAGAGCCACTATGGTTGAGAACTGCTGCTCAGGGCTGCTTCTCAAACTTTGAGCGTGCCCCGGAATCCCCTGGGGGAGTGCCGTTGAAGCACAGATGGCCGGGCCGGCCCCCGAGTTTCTGATCAGCAGGTCTGCGGTGGGGCCCAAGAATCTGCATTTCTAAAGGGCCCCAGGTGCTGCTAATGGGGGGATCCCGCTTGGAGACCCACTGCTGACGCGCCGCCCCTGCCTCGCTGAGCGACCTGGAGCCAGGCGCTGCCTCTCTCTAGGGTGAGGAGCCAGGGGGCTGTGAGTGCCCATGTCTGGGGAAGCGCTCGAATAAACCAGCTGCTTATCCTGCCTGAAGCCAGCGATCGGGGTCATGCTGCCTTTGGTCGCTAGGTGGCGACAGTGCCTGCTTGATCCTTGGAGGGTCGGGGAGGGGGTTGCAGGGCTCCTGGGGGATGCGTGGGCAAGCCCATTTGTCTTGCCAATATCATAATAATAATAACACCGTCTGTTGCCGTATATTGGGCGCTCACTCTGAGCCAGGCAATGCGGATACTGCAGTGAACAAAATTTCCAGCCCTCGTGGAGCGGACATTCTAGAGAAATAAGATGTCACCAGGTGATAGTAAGTGCTGAGAAGACAAAATAAAAGGGGAGGCCAGGAGACACTAGGGACTATTTGAGATGGGGCCCCTTCTGACACCCCAGTCCCTCGTGGCCATGGTTTTAGGGGGAATGAATTGGAACTGGGTGCCCTGTGGGGTGTATTTTGCCCCGAGATGCATGAAGAGGTCATTCCAAGGTTGCAGCCCTCGTGGACAAATGTTTATGCCCCGCTGGCTGGACCAGGCCCTGTTTTTGGTTATGCTGGAGCCACAGTGGACACCTGGACAGATGCAAACCCTGCCTTGGGGTGCTAGTGGGGGAGGTACATGCTTAAACCTAAGCATAAATGTAACATCATCAAAAAGACAGCGAGGCAGTGAGGGAGAGCTGGGCAGTTAGGACACTGCATCTTTGACAAGGGGGTACCAGCAGTCCCAGCCTGTAGAGTTGTTGTAAGGACTCGATGAGATGACATAATTTGGAATGGTCTGGTTCCAGTAAATGGTACCCGTCATTAATTATTATCATTTGTCTCAGCCTCTGGGACCTGGGAAAGCAGAGCACCCTAGGGGGTTATAATTGTGTGCAAACTAAGGGTTAAAGGGCTGTGAGCACACAGGTTGGGTTTTAGAATTTGTAGACACTTGACTTTGCTTTTCGGAAACTAATGTTTTCCAGCCTGAAGGAATTGATAGATGACAGATCGTTGGCGGCTGATCAACTCTGTGTGTGTGTGTGTGTGTGTGTGTGTGTGTGTGTGTGTGTGTGAGCTAGGGTCACAGAGCCCTCTTAGAGTCTGGATAGGTAGGCAGGGATTAATTTATTGAGAGACCTGCTGGGGGCAGTAAAGTGCCCTCTAATGTCTGGGAAACAGGAGACAGCAACTTTCCCCTCCTCGTCAGGCTCTAGCAGGCTTGAACCTGCCTTCCCTGGGCAGTTGAAGGAAGTCCCCCAAACACATTTCCAGGAAAAGCCTTGTCTGAGGGTTGCTGCAAAAGCAGGAAACACCTGGGGCCCATATAGCTGCCCGGAGCAACCTCGGAAAGTCAACAGGATGATGAGCCAGATAAACACAAGCCACAGCTTGGCGCAAGGAACGTTGACCTTGGCTCCAGCCCCACGGAGATAGAGGAGGCTAGTAGGGAAGCCCCTCTCCTCCTCCCAACTCATTTATTGACTGCCTTGCAGACATGGAAGAGTTTATGGCCACCCGGCCCATCAGCAGCTAACCAGCTAGCCAAAAGGAATGTGCTTTCCGCTGCCATTAAGCTTACAGTTGAGAAACCGATTTCACAGTTTTTCCAACCTTTTGGTGCTGGACACCAACCTGTCACTGTGAGTTTTGAGGGTCATGTTACTTGTGAAACGTGCTGGATGGTGAACAATGTCAAAACAAAAGGGACCCTATCAGTCGAAGCCCTCGATTTATAAAGGACTGAAATCATGACTCAAATTAGCTTAAGTAAAAAACAAAACAAAACCAAAAAACACAGGAAAGCCCAAAGGCTTCCTGATTCAGGCATAGGGCTGGATCCAGGTGCTTAAACAATGTTTTCAAGGCATGGACTTCTCTTTCTCTCTGGGATCTGCTCTCTTCTGTTTTGGCTTCCTTCTCAGCAAAGCTCCACAGCTGGGTGGCAAAAATGACTCCTGGCAATTCCAGGCTTAAGTTGATCATAATGAGAGCCACTTTTTTGCTTATGTTTCAGACAAAGTCCCAGGGCTGACTCTCATTGGTAGCACTGCATCACGTGTCCATTCCTGAACCAATCACTGTGACCAGGGGGAGGGAACTGCTCTGACTGGCGGGGCTTTTGTCTCTTGTGGATGATGGTGTTATAAGCACGGTGTACAAGTATCCGTTCAAGTCCCCACTTTCAATTCTCTTGAGTCTATACCCAGAAGTGGAATTGTTGCTGGGTTACAGGGTAATTCTATGTTCCGCTTTTTGCAGAACAAACTGTTTTCCCCAGCCACTGCATCATTTTACATCCCTACCTCTGTGTCTTTTTGTATTTTCAGAAATTAAAAATAGGCAGAAAAATACAGTGAAGAGATTCATTGTTTTACATGCAGAAAATTTACACATTGCTTTTAATGACATCCCAGTGAAAGGCTACCAATTTTTTTTTTGTAATAATCAGCAAAGCAGGGGCTCTTGGCTAGCTTGAGTAGCACATCCAGGGATGGAGAAGTGTGTAAAAAAAGAAAAACTAAAGCACACGTTAAGTGACCAGCTGCAGGAATAGATCGGGCACCAGATGATGCTGTGCAAACTAAGAGGAGAAACACACAGGGATGGACTCTCAGGGTCCTGCAGGGTTGAGGAGCTGGGCGGTGGTGGGGACCCCAGGAAGTGGGGTCTCCTCTCCAGCCACCCCCTCCCAGGTAGACATTTGATGGATCTTGGTGGAGAATTCCTTGTTTTTGCAGGAGGGGAGCAAGGAGAAAATGGAAAAATCGCATTTTTTTTCCCCTTCAGGACCCTTTTAGACCTGACTTTTTCTCCTGACTTAGCAATGGGGTTAAACCGGAATCTTCCAACCTCTGCACTGTGGACGTTTGGGGCCGCTTCTGTTTTGGGGGCGTCCTCTGCACTGTCGGGTGTTGGGCAGCATCCCCGGCCTCCAGGTTTCGATGCCATTTGATGCCAAGTGCACTCCTCAGTCGTAACAACCACAAATGTCCCCAGACATTGCCCAGTGTCCCCTGGGGGTGGGGGGACAAATTGCTCGTGGTTGAGAATCACTGGGTTAACTTTGCTTGACTAGAATGAATAACTGGATTAGCTCATAAAATTAGCATGTTTTGCCCAGGAGAGTCAAGTACAGATGGGAAAACTGAGGCCTGGAGTCAGCCTGAGCCCCAGACCAGAATTGGAACCCTACTCCATCCAGGTCTCCAAGAACAGCCCTTCCGGAACCACAGGGCAGCAGCAAACTGGGCTCGGGGAGTGACTGCAGCGGGTGTCGTGTGCCTCTCTGCCTCAGTCTCCCTACTCTGCTGATTTCCCAAAGGGACCGCAGCGTCCGACTTTTCTCGGCCGCCCCCACGGGTCTCGAACCCTTAACTCAACGCTCAACTCCCGGTCACGGGAGCGGCGCTCTGGAGAGGGGCGGAGCGAGGCGGCCGCCCGCGCGGCCTTGTGGGGATTGTAGTCCGGGCCCCGCTCCGCCGCGCGCCGACCCCGCCCCTGGAACTACGCTCCCGTCGTGCCCCGCGGCGCCAGGCGGAGTGGGGCGGGCGGCCGGTTGCTAAGACTTGGTGAAGCGCAGCGCTCGCGCCCGTCTCCTCAGGTAAGCGCGGGGCCACGGGGTCTCGGGCTCTCGCAGTCCAGGCTCCCGCGGAAGGCGAGCGGGGGCAGCCACCGGGGTCTCGGACGCTGGGGGCGCCGGCCGCCGGGGGAGCGAGGGCGCAGCCGGGGCGGGCGCGGGGAGCGGCGCCTGTGCGCGTGTGCGCGGGACGGCCGGGCCGCGGAACCCCGCTCCCCTCGCCCGTCGCCCTTCTGCGCGTGCGCGCGCGCGCGTCCCTCCGGCCCGACGTGGAGGCCCCGTGGGTCCAGCTGCTTCCGGTGCGCCTGCCCTCGGGTCATCGCGGCCAGCCCTCTGCTTCTGGGCTGCCCCGTTTCCAGCTTCCTGCCCGCTTTAGGCGCAGGGTCCCTCCCGAACATTAATAATGCTTCCTGATGCTTATTGCAAGTGTGAATTGTCCAGGCTATTTCATATTCTGGCCTGGGGATAAGGGGTCTCCTCCCGCATCCCACATTTCCGAGGTTCTCGAACTCTCATTAACAGAAGGCCCTTTTATAGGGTGGCCAGGTTCAGGAAGTAAAAACGCAGGACGCCCCGTTAAATTCGAATTCCGTATAAACAACGACTGATTTTTTTTATTTTTCAGTATAACTGTGTCCCAAAGATTGCACAGGACACACTTGCTCCTAAAAGGTGACCCTCTCTGGAAGTCGAATTTAACGTGGCGTCCTATATGTCATCCGGTGACCCCGCTCCACTGCGGGGCTTGTTGGTGATGCGGATTGCGGGCGCCTCCCTTTTCAGGGGGACCGAGTCCTGGAAAGTGCATTTGGAACCAGCACCCCCTGGGGCTGTGGGTGCATCTGAGACCCCAGCGCTGGCTGTTCCTTCTGCTCGGGACTCCCTGCCCTGCTCTGCCGGCCTTCTGGGCCCAGCTGTGGGTCACTGCCTCCGAGGAGCCTTCCTGGACTTCACCCGCCGCAGTCAGGGCCCTGGGCCCCTGAGGAGCTGTGGGGTCGTTGCCAGGCCTCGCGTGGATTTTCTTTCTCACTTTGTGTCCCAGACAGCGCTGTGTGACAGGGATGGTTCCCGTTTCGCAGAGGGGGAAGCTGGGGTTGGGGTTAGGACAGGTGTCTGAGGTCTGACGGCCGGGAAACTTCTTTCCGGGCTGGGCGAGGACTTCTGGGGCAGGGCCACAGCGCACCCTGTCCAGGCTCTTTCCTTCCCCGTCTGGGGATAAGATAAGGCCTCGTGCCTGAAATTTAATTACTGGGTGTCGCCTGCAGAGCCTGACTTGGCTCACTGGAGACGTGCCATTTCCTGTTCCCTCTTGGAGCTAGGGTCCACTGCTGCTGGGACACCAGACCCACAGCCCCTGGGTGCCACCAGCTGCCCCTTGTCCCCAGGAGTTCCAGAGCACGCCCATTTTCCGGGGGGTGCTGGGGGCGTGGGTGGTCCTGAGCCACTGAGAGGACAGGCTGGTACGGGTCCCGTCTCCCTGGTCCAGCCAGACCCTCCAGGGGCTGCGGCACGTGGGGAAGGGGCTGCCTTCGCAATTGAACCTTCCCTGCCCTGGACGGAGGTGGCAGGCTCGGGCACTACTGCTTAAATGTAAACGGAGGGCCTGAGGAGGCTGCGGCCGCCCCCTGGACCCCCTGGAGACAGGAGGTGTTGGCAGAGGGAGCTGGAAGCGGACGAAAGGGGCTGAGCTGGGCAGGGCCCCAGGAGAGAGCGGGGGGAGGGGTGGGGAGCCAGGAGCTGGGGGGTGACCCGAGAAGAGGAACTGGGGTGCAGCAGCTGCCCCAGCCACGCTTCAGATCCCCTGGTGTCTTCAAGCAGAGCGTTTGTGTGTGGGCGCAGGTCGCAGGTGGGCCGTGGGCATCACCCTCTGCAGAGCCTGTTTATTTCTTCTCTGTGAAGGGGTAAGGACCCATCTTGCAGAGGGGCCGGAGCCTGCGAGTCGGTGAGCTGGTGAGCATCTGGCTGCCAGGTCAGATCCCGGCTCTGCCCATCCCAGCCGTGTGGCCCCCGGCAAGTCCCTCCACCTCAGGGAGCCTTGTCTAGTCCCTTAGAGCAGGGGCAGTCCCAGAGCTCCCTCCCGGGTCAGTGGAGCAGTAGAGGAGCCCAGTCGTGGGAGCGTGAGGACCAGCCACTGTCAGCCGAGGCGCCCGGCCTTGTCTGGGGTCTGCTGACCCAGCGCCCATCGCACGTCCTTCTCTTCTCATTCTCTTTAGCAGCAGCTTTGCTGGGATACAGTTCGCATACCGTGCAGTTCACCCATGGATGATAAATGTTTTCGTGGTTTTTAGTACATTCACAGGGTTGTGCAACTATCATCTCTGTCTAGTTCTGGAACATTCCATCACCCCAAAAAGCAATCCTGTCCCCATTAGCAGTCACTCCGCATCCCCTCCCCAGCCTCTGACAACCACGCAACCACTTTCTGTCTGTGGATATGCCTGTTCTGGACATTTCACATCAATGGACTCACACACCGTGTGTCCTTCTGTGTCTGGTTCTCTCACTGAGCATCGTCTGTTCAAGGTCCATCCACGGTGTGGCTGTGTCAGGGCTTCACTCCTCTTCATGGCTGCGTCATGTTCCAGTGTGTGGATGGACACATTGTGCATGTCCATTCATCTGTCGATGGAGTCTGGGGTTGTGTCCACCTTTTGGCCGTTGTGAACGTGCTGCCATGGACACGTGTGTACAGGTTTCCCTGTGGACGTGTGTTTTCAGTTCTCTTGGGCACATACCTAGGAGGGGAGTGGAGTTGCTGGGTCAGGTGGTGACCGTCCTGTGACTTTTATCCGTCCTCCCTAGGGGCTGGTGGCCCAGCCAGCAGCGTCCCTTTGGCAGCCTCCTTTATTTGTGGCTTGTTTTGTTTCAGTCAGACAGGGGTTGTAGTTGGAAAGGACAAACGAGACTGTGTCTGTTTTTTTGCCCTGGAGACAGTGGGAGCTTTGTGGCCTGGGGCAGGCTGTGTGCCGGGAGCAGGATTCAGAGTCGGCGCCATGGGCTCTCCTGTGGGCCCTGCCTCGCACAGGCGTCAGGAGTGCATGAGGGGCACCCCCACTTCCCACAGCTCCCCCAGCACCTTGGCAACGTACATTTGTCAGACTTGTATTGCGAGCTCAGGACGCATCGTGGTGGGAGAGGACCTCATGTGCCCTCCGAGGGGCCTGGCTGATAAACAAACTGGGGCCCAAGGGGGCGAGGAGTGAGCTAGGGGGCACATCACGAGCAGTACAAGCAGTTAGAGGCCACGTTTTTAAAAAGTACAAAGAAACTGACGAAATTAATTTTAAGAATATGTTTATGTAACCTGAGACACACAAAGTATTATTGCTTCAGCATGTAGTCGGTGTAAAACAGCTGAGATAGTTTACACTCTGTCTTCCGTATTAAGTCTCCGAGATCCAGGGCGTTTCAGCTCATAGCACAGCTCAAATAAAAAGAAAAAAAAAATTGGTGGCAGTTTACACTCTGTGTAGGGCCGGCCCTGTGGCGTAGTGGTCGAGTTTGCGTGCTCCGTTTCGGCAGCCCGGGGTTCACAGGTTCGGATCCTGGGCGTGGACCTACACCCCGCTCATCAAGCCATGCTGTGGCGGCGTCCCACATACAAAGTAGAGGAAGGTGGGCACGGATGTCAGCTCAGGGCCGATCATAAACTCCGTGCAAACCCAGGGTTAGTAGGACGTGGGCGAGAGCGTGGCCTGTGACGCCTTGTACTTGGGCCGGAGCTCCGGACGAGCCTCCCGATGCGGTGTGCTCCTGGGACGAACTCCCCGGCTCAGCCGCGCCTCCCGCGGCTGACGGATGATGCTCTGCTGCGGTCTCTGTCTCCCACAGTCCTGCCGAGGATGGACCCCGCCGTGGGCGCCGCAGAACAGCGTGGGGACGAGAAGGCCGGGAGCCCGCAGCCGGAGCCTGCGCCGTGGCAAGCCCTGCCGGTCCTGTCCGAGCAGCAGTCCGGGGACGTGGAGCTGGTGCTGGCCTACGCCGCGCCCGTCCTCGACAAGCGCCAGACCTCGCGGCTGCTCAAGGAGGTGTCGGCCGTCCATCCGCTGCCCGCCCAGTCTCACCTCAAGAGGGTGCGGCCAAGCCGCGACGCCAGCCACCCGCACGCACTGGACATGCTGCTGTGCCTGGCGGGGCCGGCCGTGGGCACGCGCTCGCTCGCCGAGCTCCTCCCGTGGCCGGCCGTGGACGCCCAGGGCCTGGGACAGCCCTTCTTGGTGCCCGTGCCCGCCCGGCCGCCTCTGACCAGGGGCCAGTTTGAGGAGGCGCGTGCCCACTGGCCCACGTCCTTCCACGAAGACAGGCAGGTGACCCGCGCCCTGGCCGGGCGGCTCTTCTCGGCGCAGGAGCGGGCCACGATGCAGGGCCACATGGAGCGGGCTATCCGAGCGGCGCAGCAGGCGGCCGCGAGGGGCCTGAGGGCCGTGGGGGCCGTGGTGGTGGACCCGGGCTCAGACCGCGTGCTGGCCACGGCCCACGACTGCAGCGGCCCAGCCAGCCCCCTGCTGCACGCCACCATGGTGTGCATTGACCTGGTGGCCCAGGGCCAGGGCCGCGGCGCCTACGACCTCGGGCCCCACCCCGCCTGCTCCTCCGCCCCAGCCACCACCGCCCAGGCCGTCCGGGCGGGCTCCGTGCGCAAGCTGGATGAGGACGTGGACGCGGACGGCCTGCCCTACGTGTGCACTGGCTACGACCTCTACATCACCCGCGAGCCCTGCACCATGTGCGCCATGGCCCTGGTGCACTCCCGCGTGCGGCGCGTCTTCTACGGGGCGCCCTCGCCCGACGGCGCCCTGGGCACCCGCTTCCGCCTGCATGCCCGGCCCGACCTCAACCACCGCTTCCTCGTGTTCCGCGGCGTGCTGGAGGCCCAGTGCCGCCGGCTGGACCCCGACACCTAGGCCCCGGCCCGCCGGCCTCGGGAACGTCTTCTGCTCCCCGCTGGCCTCAGCCTCCGCTCAGACTCCACGGGCGGGCCCCCGCCTCCCTCGTTGTCGTCCGCGGGGCCGCCATCCTGGAGAGTTTTAGAGACGCTCACACCTCCCAGCCTTGGAGCCAGGACCCATGCTGTTCTCACTGGCCTGTGGGGGCGTGTTTCTGCCCGGACTGAGCTCTCTCCGGGCTTGAGCGTAGCGGGGGTCCAGCGGGCCGTGGAGCCAGGCACTCGGGCCTCACTCCTCCAGCCGCCTTCAGCCCTGAGCCCGCGGTCTGCTGGCCTCGTGTCCCCTTTGTCTCGGGTGTCAGGAAGCAGATCTGATGTGTGGAAATAAACACATCCCCAAAACCAGGTTGGTGTCTGTTGACCAAGACGCGGGGCCGTGGTGACCGAGGGTCCCTGGTTCAGGGCGGCCGCTTCTGCTGAGGGCCTGGGTTTGTACAGGGGGAGGGGAGCTTCTGAGCCGAGTGCGGGCACAGCCAGGCCCCGGGTGGCACCTCCCTGCCTGCGTCCTGGGTCTTGAAGGGTGTGGCTGGCCAGGGTGTGTCTTCACCGGGGTGTAGCCCGCCGGCCTGGACTCAGCTGACCGAGAGGCTCCTTTGAGGCCGTCCCGTTTCCTGTGCTTCACAGGTGGCCAGAGGGGTCTTGCCACAGAGCAGCTAGGACTAGAACCAAAGTGTGAGGACTGCAAGGGCCCGTTTGTCCGTCCAGCAGATGTGCATTGTCTGACCGCACGGGCACTGCAGGGCCCTGAGATGTCCCTGCCCTGAGCCCACCCTGGAGCCCTCAGAGAGGGATGCAGCCGGCTCCTCCCAGCCCCTGGGGCAGGGCAGGGGGGATCTCTGTCCGGGGAGCCGGGGCAGTGGACAGACACTGGGATGGGGCACAAGTCCACCAGTCCTGCAGGCAGGCTGGGCCAGGACAGACGGAGGGTCCGGGCGGGGCCGTTACTGAGCTAAGGGGTGGGCCCTGGGGAACTCGGTGTCACTGGAACCTCTCACCTGGACTCTGGGTGAGAAACACGTCCCCCGCTTCCCGCCCCAGCGCCTGCCTCCAGGCCCGGGTGCCCACCTGCTGCGGTGCCAGGCATGGGGGACCATTCAGGCCCAGCTGTGGCCTGAGGACTGGGCAGGCACTAGACTCAGCCCCGTTGGCCCAGCCCTTTCCTGAAGGTGGCACTGTCCACCCAGAGCCCTTGTGGAACTGGTGAATTCTGCTCAGTTGTGAGCGTTGTAGGCAGCATAGTGTGTGGGGCTACTCCATGACGCAAACTCCTGTGGCTCCTTCTAGGAAGAGCTGCTGGGTGCCTGACTGGTCCCTGGTTACTTCACTCGGGTTGCAGTGGGGTTCTCAGCCCTGCAAGACTCACAGGGGTGAAAACTGTACACCCAGAGAGGTTGTGTGACTTGCCTGAGGTCACACAGCAATAAGTGTGAACCCAGTTCTTGGTGACTCGAAAGTCGGGCCTTGTGGCCGTAAGGAGGCACTCGGAGCCATCCTTTGCTTGTGGGGGATGTTTGGGGGGTAGGGGAGGAAGAGGAGGCGGGAGAGCAGTTGGGGGGGGTTCACCAGGAGCCCAGGAATGTCCTGGCTCCAGCCATGGGTGGATGGGGCTGCAGCCTGACCCCCCATCAGTGCAGATGCTCCCTAGGAGGCTCTGAGGCGAGGTGACAACTGGGGTCAGACATTTGGGGCTGGCCTTGTGGGCAAGAGCCCAGACACCCCCGTGGACGGCCTGGTGGTTAGCACCCTTGGTGGCTGCCTGGGCCTGCAGCCGCTGTCGGGGTCACCGGCATTCGCGGGGACCCCCTGACTATGGCTGTCTCTCCTCTAGGTGGCTGCAGGCTCTGCCCCGGCCAGTCATCACAGCAGAAATGTCCGGTGAGTCTTGCCCAGGGCCCTGCAGCGGGCCTTCTGGCTTCTCTGTTCCTCTGGGAAGTGTCCCTGGGCGGTGGGACCCACCGAGACCCCCATGGGCCCACACCTCTTGATGGGTGTCAGGGTCGCCTCCTGGCGCTGAGTCGGACGAGAAGGAGACGCCCGGTTTCCACGTGAGCCATCCCAGCGAGGGTCTGGCCCTGCAGACCTTCTGCCTTGGGGCTCGTTTTGTGGTTGACACTGTGGTGGGCGCAGAGGTTTGGGTACCTGGGTTCACACCTGCATGTGTGAGACCACAGCCTCCCTCCCCGACGGAAGGTGGCGGGAGGCTGGCAGCAAAGAGCCCGCGGGGCTGCCTGCCCCGTCCTGCGGGGGAACGGGCGAGTAAGTGCGGCCAGGCGGGCCGGGGGCAGCCGGCTGGGGGCAGGGCTGGGGCAGGCACCCTGACCCCCAGTCCCAAGACTGCGCAGGGCGTCTCCCAGCCTCTTTATCTGCCGAGAAACCAAGGTTTCAGAGGGCCGGGCGACTTGGCTGGTGATTTTCAGCCTCCCTCCCATCACGATGCGTGCTGGCGGGACTGGCTGCTGGGGACGTTGCCCCGTCCCCACTGTGGGCGGCGGGAGGTGTGGGGTCGGACGTCAGGCCAGGAAAGGGGGGCCGGTGCCCGAGGGAAGAGCAGGACTCGGGGCTGGGGGGCGAGTGGGAGCTGTTGTCGGGGCCTTGGGCACCCGGCCACAGGGCTTGGATGGGGACACGCGAGGGGTTCGTGACCCGCAGACTGTGGTCCCGTGCTGGCGAGACCCCTGCGGGCCGGCTCCCGGGAGGGGGTGAGGCTGGAGGCCTCCTCCCATTGTCTCATCATGGAGGCGGCAAGGGGGCGAGCTCAGAGCAGATCGAATCCCCCTCCCCTCAGGTTCAGGGTGCTCCATGGCACCCCGTGTCGCTTGGTAAATCCCTGAGGCTTCTCAGTGGCCAACAAGGTGTGGTCTGCCTGGCCCTCCTGGCTTCTCACCCCTGCTCTCAGCGCTCCTAGCCAGGCAGGTGCTCACCCCAGGGCCGTTGCGCTGGCAGTACCCTCCCCTAGAATCCACTGGGCTCCCTCCTTCACTTCCTTAGTCTTCCTTCAAATGCTCCTCTTTGAGTGAGGCCCTCTCTGACCTCCCTTTTAAATCACAGCTGACTGCCCCCCCAGCACCTGTCCCTGGCGGCACCCGCCTGCCCCCTAGCTCTCCTCCCTTACGGCACCTTCTCGAACAGCACACAGTTGCTCAGTTATTACAATTATTGTGGTCCCCTACTGTGGGGTGGCAGCCCTGGAGGACAGGGGTCTGTCTGCTCTGTTCCTTGTCTGGCCTTCGTCAGTGCCCAGGAAACGTGTCCTCAGCCGTGCTGAGGAGCATGCTCTTGGTTGAATCGTGTCCCCAAAAGACATGTTCAAGTCCTGACCCCGGGACCTGTGAACGGACCTGGTTTGCAAATAGGGTCTTTGCGGGTGTAAGTAGCGAAGATAAGGTCACGCTGGAGTGGGGGCTACTGCAGCATGACAGATGTCCTTCTGAGGAGAGGGAAGGTTGGACACAGACACAGGGAGGGGCCATGTGGCCACGGAGGCGGAGATCAGGGCGTTGCGGCCACACGCCCAGGACACCTGGAGCCCCAGATGTTGGAAGAGGCAGGAAGGACCCTCCCATGGAGCCTCCGGAGGGAGCGTCGCCCTGTGACACCGTGATCTCAGATGTCTGGTCTCCAGAACTGGGAGAAGATAAATTTCTGTTGTTTTAAACCCCTAGTTTGTGGTCATTAGTTACAGCGTCCCCAGGAAGCTCGTACATTCTGAGTGCCAGAACTTTCCCTGGAGTCTCAGGTGTTAACAGCATTTGGGCTCTGCCGTGGAGTCTGTGTTTCCTGTGAGCGCTCGAAGAAATCACCAAGAACGTGGTGACTTAAAACTTATCGTCTCACAGTCCTGGAGGTTGGGGTCCCACATGGGCCTCCCTGCACTAAATCCGGGTGTGCTCAGGGCTTTCCTCCCGGAGGCTCCAGGGAGAACTGTCTCCCGCCTTTTCCAGCTTCTAGAGGCGCCGCGTCCTGGGCTTGGGGCCCCTTCCTCCATCTGCACAGCCCGCAGCGCAGCGTCTCCCGTCTCTCTCTGCCTCTGACCCTCTTCCTCCCTCTGATGAGGACCCTGTGATGACCCTGGGCCCCCGGGGATCCAGGGTCATCCCCCATCTCAGAGGCCTCAAGTTAATCCATCTGCAAAGTCCTCTCTGCCAAATGAGGTGACACGTCCACAGGTCCTGGGACCAGGACGGGACGTCTTTGGGGCCGTGACTGAGCTGACCCAGCCTGGTTTTGTTCCGCGGTGTTCTCTGTCCTTGCAGGAAAGGAGAACAATTTCCCGCCGCTGCCCAAGTTCATCCCCCTGAAGCCGTGCTTCTACCAGAACTTCTCCGACGAAATCCCCATCGAGCACCAGGTCCTGGTGAAGAGGATCTACCGGCTGTGGCTGTGTGAGCAGGCGGGCAGGGGAGGGGGGTGGGGGCCTCCCTGCACCACCCCGGGGACCCAGCCCCGGGACAGGTCCAGGCTGCGAAGCTGCCCCGTCCTTGGGTGGCGAGAGCCTGAGGTTTTTGTAATAAATCTCATCTTTCTGATAAAATTCCGTCCCGGCAGGGATATGGTGTGGTAGACAGAGCCGGTGGGGCTGGCTGGGCGGGAACCCCGTCCCCCTGAGCCCTCCTCGGCCCCGTGGTCCCTGCGCCGATGGGAGCTGGCATCCCAGCCCTGCCCGGCCCTCCCAGCGGGGTGGGAGGTGTCCCAGCTCACTGTCCTCGTCCCCTCCCCAGTCTACTGCACCACCCTGGGCGTCAACCTCGTCGCCTGCCTGGCCTGGTGGATCGGCGGCGGCTCAGGAGCCAACTTCGGCCTGGCCTTGGTCTGGTTGCTGCTCTTCTCCCCCTGCAGCTATGTGTGCTGGTTCCGGCCCGCGTACAAGGCCTTCCGGTGAGTCGGGTGCGGGCGGCCTGCACCGAGGGGGTCTCGGGGGGGTGTCTGGGGCTGCTGGTCAGCTCAGAACTGAGAGTAGCCGGGACGCCCAGCCAGGTGTGTGCTCAGCTCCATGTGGGCGCGCGGGCCCTGGGCCCTGGTCTGCATCTGTCACCCTGCCCCGGGATTAGTAACCGTCCCTTTCTCTTGTCCAGTTTAGATGACAGTTTATATCCAGTCTGCAGATCAAATCAAGCTGCCCGTTTTGTAATAACTGCCTCTTAACCACTCAGAGTTTCTAATATCTTCACAAGGTTGTACAACCATCACCTCCATTTCCAGAACATTCCATCACCCCAAAAAGAAACCCCATCCCCATTAGCAGTCATTCCGCATCCCCTCCCCAGCCCCTGGCAACCACAAACCCACTGTCTGTCTGTGGATGTGCCTGTTCTGGACATTTCACATCAGTGGACTCACACACCGTGCGTCCCTCTGTGTCTGGGTTCTCTCACTGAGCATCATGTGTTCAAGGTCGGTCCACGGTGTGGCTGTGTCAGGGCTTCACTCCTTTTCACGGCTGAGTAATACTTCAGTGTGTGGATGGACGTATTCGTCCGTTGAGGCACTTGGATTTTTGCACGTTTTGGCTGTTGTGAATCGTGCTGCTGTGGATATCGCACCCCCCAGGCCCTGCTGCCCAGGCGTGTGCCATGCTTGCCCCTAGATGGTCCCTGAATCCCAGACTGTCAGAGTGAGTCAGAAAGGGCCCCTGGTGCCCTCCTCCAGAAACCCACCCATATTTGCAGACGCTAGAAGGGGCTGTGACTTGGGGTCCCCGGCTGTCTTGGGCAGCCGTGTGCAAGAACACAGCAATGTGCAGGGCTTTGCAGACAGCCTGGGGGCAGCCCTGCACTACGAGAGCTTCCCTGCCTCCTCCCGCCCCTCCTCCGGCTCCAGGTCCCCCCAGCACCTGCCCTCCCGTCAGTGCACTGGAAACGGCCCGGGAGAGGGCCCTCTGCAGCCGCCCCATGGCCTCAGGGCAGCATGCAGAAACCGGTGTAGTGTGGACAACATCTCGAATTTGAGAGGCACCATCTTCCCAGATTAACCTCTGATACCCGCGTGAACGTGGGTGTGCCACACCAGATGCAGTAAAGCCCTTAAGATGCAGGAGGATGGCCCCAGCTCCTTCCCAGTAAGGGGTCCGTCGATGTAGCATCTTTACAGAGGTGCCGTGTTTTGGCCCCTGCGGTCAGAACCCAGTTTGAGCACAGGTGTGGTAATCCGTGAGTCGGCGGGTTTGTCATTATTTGAAGGAGGAAAGAAGCCCCCGCCTTGCCGTCTCGCCACACACCTCCCCCTTCGGGTCGTGATCTCTGAGGGGCCGGGGCCTCGGTAATGGCTCTGTTTTCTTTTTCTTTCAGAGCCGACAGCTCCTTTAACTTCATGGCGTTTTTCTTCATCTTTGGAGCCCAGTTTGTTCTGACCGTCATCCAGGCAGTCGGCTTCTCCGGGTGGGGTGCATGGTAAGCCAGGCCCGCGGGGGCCGTGTCGATAAACGTGCCAACATGACGCGTGTGAACTGTAGACATACGAGGAAGACGCGTGTATCCATCAGCAAGGGCTGCGTGTTGTAACACATAGACCCCGAAACTTGTAATGGCCGGAAGGGAGTAGAAGTTTGCCCCCTGCTCTTGTAAACACTCCGAGGAGGTGCCAGCCAGCAGGGTCGGGTGTCTGTCTCCAATTTGTCTGCCTTTGTGGTATTATGTGAAGGTTCTGTGGCTGCTGTAACAAATTATGCCAAATTTAGTTTAAAATGAAACACGCTTGTCATCTCATGGACCTGGAGGTTGGGGGTCCTACATGGTCTCAATGGCTAAAATCCAGGTGCGGGCAGGGCTGGCCCTCCGGAGGCTCCAGGGAGAACCGTCTCCTGCCTTTTCCAGCTTCTAGAGGCGCCGCGTCCTGCGCTGGGGGCCCCTTCCTCCGTCTGCACAGCCCGCAGCGCAGCATCTCCCGTCTCTCTCTGCCTCTGACCCTCCTCCTCTGATGAGGACCCTGTGATGCCACTGGGCCCCGGGGATCCAGGGTCATCTCCCCTCTCAGGGGCCTTGACTTTATCCATCTGCAGAGACCCTCTGCTATGTGAGGTGACACGTCCACAGGTCCCAGGACTAGGATGGGAACGTCTTTGGGGCTGTCATCCTGCCCACCCCGCAGGTATCTTCAGCATGCAGTGTTGGGTGGGAGACGGCTGAGGTGCTGCCTGGCTGTGTCCTGATGTGGTCTCTTGGTTGCTGTTTCTCGGAATGTCAGGAGCTCGATCTGTCTGTGTGGTCAGAGCTCCCCCATTCCGGGAAGTTTTCTGGTCTCACATCTTTGCGAGTTTCTCTCACTCCACTTGTGGGTTGTCTAGCTCTCGGTTTGGGGCGTCAGGTTGCCGTGGTTTTCTTGGTTTTCGTTCCTGTCGCTCTTTCTCTCTGTCCGCTGGGGGCGCCGCCACAATCTGTCCTCCTCACTGGAGACAGTTGTTCGCTCTCTTGTTCTTTGTGGCCTGTCTGGGTGTTCACAGCCTCGTGAACCCGGCTCCTCGAAGCTCCCTCCGTGTTCTCTGTTTCCCACCGGGTCCTCCCGCCTCCTCTGCACAGAGCCTCGAGGCATCTGCTTCTCGCCGGCTCATTTCCAGAATACCTCTCCCCTGCCCCCATCTCCCTGACGTCGTCCCCTCCCCGCATGGTGAGCAGATGGGCTCTGAATATTGAGTTTCTTCTTGGCTAACACCCTCCCAGATCTGGGTCTGGAGGGCCAGTGAGGTGTTCTCTTGGGTTCCCCAGGACCGCCCCCAGGTGCGGGGATTGGGAGGACCCCAGGACTCCACAGTGGTCATCCTGGTGGCCGTGGTTTATACAGAGAAAGGACACGAAACAAAGTGAGCAGAGGACAGGCACGTGGGACAGGGGCAGGGAGACCAGGCAGAAGCTTCCAGAGTCCTCTCCCAGGGGAGTCCCACAGGACGTGCCTAATTCCCCCAAACCAGACGTGACAGCACGTGTGAGGTGTCGTCTCAGGGGCTCAGAGACTCAGGCCCAGAGTTCCCACTGGAGTCATGCAGGGCATCCGCCCGGCACGGACAAGAGTCCAAACCCAGGAGGAGAGCAGGTGCTCGGCTTGGACCTCGTGTGTGCACAGACAGTTTAGGGCGGGGGAGCCCCCGGAGTGCAGTCCCAGATGCCACTGGAGGCCAGCCTGGCAAGCTGGCCTTTCCGAAGTCACAGCCTCCGGTCTGCTGTTTAGCCCTTTTCTGTCCGGTGCCCCCACCGCCACCGTTTCTACGCGGGGCAGGCGGAGTGTGCACCTTCCTCGGGGGCTGGCTTGTGGAAAGGCCCCCTCAGGAGTTTCCTTTCCCTCTGTGAGTGGGGGTGGAACAGGGCAGGGGACGGGCACCCGAGCAGGTGGTGACCTCGGGGAAGGGGCTGTTCTGAGGCGTTTTCCTTTTCTGTAAAATTAAGAGGATGATGATGATAGTAATAATACCACTGCTTGTGCGAGCAGGTCCAGGCCCTTCCGTGCACTGACTTGTCTGCTCCTCATAAAGGGGCGACATCACTCCCATTCTGCAGATGGGGAGACCAAGGCCCAGGCAGAGCAAGTCTCTGGGAGGCTCGGCACCCGGAGCCCCTTCACTTCCTGTGAGTGTGCGGGCAGCTGGCCCTCCTGGCTCCGGGTTCTTTGAATGTTCTGGCACAGGCACCTCTGAGCCTGGCTCAGGTGCCTGGAGGAGACTGCACTTGCAGTGCCCTCGGCCTCCTGGGGTCGGTGCAGGAAGCACCGGGCCGGGAGCTGGGACCCTGGAGCTGCAGCTCCACCAGCCTGGGTTCACCCCAGACAGTGCAGCCTGGGTCTCCCCATCCTGTGGTCTCCCCTCTCCTGGCCCCGGGTGGCCGGCAGTCCCACGGCTTACCACCAGGGGGCGGGCGACCTCGAGCTGCGCATGGTCCCAGCGCCCGGGGCATTCCTGGTGGGCGCAGGAGCAGCTCCCGGTGAGAACAGTTTGCTGTGGAGCCTTCCAGGCTCAGGCTCATCCTCACGCAGAGGGGCGGCTCTCAGAGCCCCTGTCCCGTCTCCGGCTCCACGGTCGCGGCTCCCCGCCGGTCCCCTGTCCTGGTCTCTGTCCCTCCCCGCACACTCCAGTCCCCCATCGTCTCCTCGGCACACCTTCCCCGAGAAACTGTGAAGGAGAAGGATTTTTAAAATGTATAAAAATATATATACACGTGAGCACGATGCTGTTCACACCTAAGAAGGCAACCCTAATTCTTTAGCATGGCCAGGTGCTCAGAAGTGTTCACACCATCCATGTCTCTTAAATTTACTTCTTTTTTTTTTGTGAGGAGATCAGCCCTGTGCTAACATCTGCCAATCCTCCTCTTTTTGCTGAGGAAGACCGGCCCTGGGCTAACGTCCGTGCCCATCTTCCTCCACTTTATATGGGACGCCGCCACAGCATTGCTTGACAAGCGGTGTGTCGGTGCGCGCCCGGGATCTGAACCTGCAAACTTTTTTTTTTTTTTAAAGATTTTATTTATTTTATTTTTCCCCCCAAAGCCCCAGTGGATAGTTGTGTGTCGTAGCTGCACATCCTTCTAGTTGCTGTATGTGGGACTCGGCCTCAGGATGAACGGAGAAGTGGTGCCTCGATGCGCACCCGGGATCCGAACCCGGGCCACCAGCATCGCAGCGCGCGCACTTAACCACCAAGCCACAGGGCCGGCCCATGAACCTGCAAACTTTAGGCCGCTGACGCAGAGCGTGTGCACTTAACCGCTGTGCCACTGGGCCAGCCACTACTGCTTCTTAAATAGGCTTTTTATATCCGGCTACTTTGAGGTTTGCAGAAAGGTGCAGACAGGACAGAGCGTGGCCGTCTCCCCTGTTAGCCCCTGACAGGCCTCAGCCACAACTAGAGATGGGCTAGGAGCGGTGCCCTTCCCAGACCACAGGTTCTGTGTGGATTTCCGCCGCATTTCCATGAACATCCTTTCCCTGTTCAGGATTCCGTGTGGCTTTTATTTAAGTTTTGCTTTAGAGGTTTGTTCACATCAGGCTGCAGGTGAGGGGTGCGCATTTCCCAGGTGGTGTTTCTCTCAAGCTCTCCCTCATCTGTGGGCTCCATCGTCCTGGAGAGATTCCCACAGTCGGGGATTTTAGAATAATGGCTTTATTGAGATACACTTCATAGACCAGGAATTCACCCTTTTAAAAAGTGTACAATTCACTGGTTTTCAGTATATTCACAAGGTTGGGCAACCATCAACACTATCTAATTCCAGAATATTCTCATCATCCCAAACAGAAACCCCGTCCCCATCAGCAGTCACCCCCAGCCCCTGGCAACCACAAACCCACTTTCTGTCTGTGGATCTGCCTGTTCTGGACATTTCACATCAATGGAATCACACACCGTGTGTCCTTCGGTGTGTCTGGTTCTCTCACTGAGCATCGTGTGTTCAAGGTCCATCCACGGTGTGGCTGTGTCAGGGCTTCACTCCTCTTCATGGCTGCGTCGTATTCTGGTGTGGATGGACCACGTTGTGTGTTATCCATTCATCCATCAATGGACAATGGGGCTGTTTATACTTTTTTGCTATTGTTAGTAGTGCTGCTCTGAAATTCCTATCAGTTTCCACGTGGACACGTTTTCGTTTCTCTCGGGTCTCCCCCCCGGTATGGCCGGGTGACCTAGTAACTCTTTTAACCTTCTGAGGATCGGCCAGACTCCCGCACAGATTTTGCAGGCTGCATCCTGTGCTATCCTTTCGTGTTCTGTCCCCTCTCCCTCGTTCTGTTCTAGGGGAGCACCTGGCGCCCCTGTCCCCTCCCTGGTGCCCACTCTCCGTCTCCAGGCCCCTCTCCAGCCTCCCTGCTCCCCACCACTTCTCCCTCGGCCTCTTCCGGGTGCAGCTGGGATGCAGCAGGCTGGTTCACTGTCTGTAGCTGAGCGAGGCCGGTTTATCACCCGCTGTTCCTGAGTGGCGTCATCCCGGGTCGTAAATGAGATTGTTCTCTCGGGAGCAGCCAGCCGCCAGCTGGCTCCTGGGCGTGTCTGGGAGGCTGGTGCCGCCGCGGCGGAGCAGGCTCCCCGTTCTACATCCCCCGCCCGTGGGCGCGTCCACTCTCCCCGGAGACCACGATCCGCGGGCTGGGCCCCCACCCGCCCAACTCCATGTTCTGGGGCCCAGGTCCGGTGGGAGATCATTCGTCCCCAGAGTGACGCCCCCAGCAGGCCCAGCACCTCCTCCCCTCCCGGGAGCCCCTGCCCACAGGACAGCGTCCAGCCGCGCCAGCTGCCTGTCCATCCCACCCAGCGCCCCCTGCGCCCTCCGGCTGCTGCCCTTGCTCACGCCCCTGGAAGTGCAGAGCACTGTGCATAGAGCGTGTGTGCTGTGTTCACGTGTACACGTGTGTACACATGTGTAGTATATAGATGATACCCACACGCACACGTTTTTATAAATGCTCTCTGGAAGGAGACATGGCAGATGGGTTACGTTGGTTCCCTCTGGGCTGGGGAGGGGGGTTGGCGAGAGAGAGACTATTTAGTGTATGTTCTTTTAAGTTTTCCTGGATCTTAACCTTAAGCCACGTGGTTTTATTACCTGTTAAGAAAAAATATTCTCAAAAATTCCATATTTCCTGTCTCCCCGCTCCCAGCAGCAAACGTGGGTAACAAGATGGATGTTCTTCTATATGGTCTGAGAACGTAACAGGGTTCTTAGGCTCTTGCTGTACCTGACAGATCTTCAATTTTTTTTCTTTCCTCTTGTTTTTTTAGTGTCTCAGTATTCCATCTGTGGCTGTAGCATAATTTGTGTTTGTGTCGTTCCCAGCCCGTGGACATTTAGGTTCCTCCCAGCTTTTCGTTATTACAAACAACTGCTGTAGCATGAATTCTTGTAAGTAGAATTAGAGTAGTTGGGGTGAAAGGGCGTACACTCCTACTGACAAGGTGGTGTTCGTATCTCCTTCCCTCATACACACGAGGTTTGCCATTATAATGGTAGAAGAATGATGCCTTGTTCTAACTTGCATGTCTTTGTTGGTGGGTTTGAGCATCATTTCTTTCTTTTTTTTTGAAGATTTTATTTATTTATTTTTCTTCCCCAAAGCCCCAGTAGATAGTTGTACGTCATAGCTGCATATCCTAGTTGCTGTATGTGGGACTCGGCCTCAGCATGGCCGGAGAAGCGGTGCCTCGGTGCGTGCCCGGGATCCGAACCCGGGCCACCAGCAGCGGAGCGCGTGCACTCAACCGCTAAGCCATGGGGCCAGCCCTGAGCATCATTTCTTATGTTTATTGGCCTCCTGGTAGTCCTTGTACAAATTGCCCGTCTCTGCTAGTTGTTTGTCTTTTTCTTGTTGATTTCTCGGAGTTCTTTACATATGAAGAATGGTGGGCAGGGTCTGGTGGACATGCTGGCACCCACGCTCTCTTCTCCTTGCAGTGGTTGGCTGGCAGCGATCGGGTTCTTCCAGACCAGTGTCGGGGCCGCCGTGATCATGCTGCTTCCAGCCATCATGTTCTCCATGTCAGCCGCCATGATGGCCATTGTGATCATGAAGGTAAGTCCTCTGGGTCCTGGGACGTCCAGCTTCTTCCCACGCTTCCTGTTGCCGACCCCCTGGCCGCGGGGGCTCATCTCAGCCCCCATGCCTGCTGGGGGGCATTTCAGGCGTAAGAGACTGAGTGTCCTGGAAGTGGGGTGATCTCTGTCAGCAGGGCAGACCCTCCCGTTGTCTGCACCCTCAACTGCTCTAGCCAGGACCCTGCCTGCCCCGCCACGTGTTGCCATTTACAGTTAAATTCAAATTAAGTAAAATCAAATAAAACTAAAAATTCAGCGCATCCATCGCGGCCACCTCGTCCCGAGCGCTCAGGTGCCAACCGTCTCCAGCGTCGTGGGAAGCTCCGCCTAATGGAGACTTCCAGCGGGGAACCTTTGCATTGCGGTCCCGAATTCATCAGCCACATGAGGGTTGTTCCGGAACTACGTGAAAGCCAACAGGCGACGACGAGGCTGACAGTGCGTCCGCCCCAGCCTTCCCGGGGGTGGCCGTCCTGGCTGTCTGTCTGCTGTGCACGGGGGCGCTGCTCCAGAAGCCAGCCCTGCGCCAGGCGACAGGATTGCCAGTGATGTTTAGAAACTGGGTTTGGAGCCCCGTCAAGCCTCCTTGCTGTGCAATCCCGGTGGTCACAGCACAGTCACAGTCTGGGCTATTTGATCCGTGCCCTTGTCTGGGAGACAGAGGAGAGCTCGGCGCCCCCATATTTGCGCCCCAAAATCCTTTCAGCTGTCTGGATGATCTGAAGGGACAAGAGGGGAGAGATGAGCAGAAACTGTGAGCGTGCTTAGAGACACCACGGTGGGTCTCGGCGAGATTCCAGGACGGGGTCCACGGGGAGCTAACCACCTTCCAGCCGGGATCTTCTACTCGGAAAACCGAATGCTAATACCAGCCGAAGATGCCTGGGAGGCACGGGAAAGCAGGGGTTTCGGGGTTCAAAGTAGAGTGCACTCCCCCAAAACAAGACAGAGAGGCCTCCTCTGTCGGGATCCGCAGGAGCACCCCAGGTTTGGTGGTTCGCAGGAAAGAAGAAAGACGATTCCAGCGGGAAATGACAAAGCGTTCAGCTTCACTAATGATCAAGAGCCTGAAGTGAAAACGCTGCTGTCTTGCTTCTTGAATTTGCCGCGGTTTCTAGAATAGTACAGCGCGGGGTTCCCAGGGCACGGTCGTTCTGGACGGTGAGGAGTCCGTGGTCCGTCCCCAGGGGTCCCTGCTGAGGAGATAATTGCCCGCCCAGAGACGGCTGTTTGTGTTGTGGGGGCTCCGGGCCTAACGCGCCCGCGTCAGGAGGCCCAAGGAATCCCCAGTTTCTCCTGCCAGGCGCCGCCCCTTGAGGCGGTGAGTGTCGGGCGAGCCGTCCACAGGGAGAGACAGGCCCCAACCGGCCAGCCAGAAATAAGAGCTTGTGGCTGGGTGTGGGCCACAAAGAGGCAGCAGAAATCCACACCGAGAGGCGACTGGGACCTTCTGAGTCCCTGATCTCGGCGTCTCTGCGTTTTCTAGTTTCCACAGAGACCCTTCTGTTACTTTGGTAATCCATTTAAGAAAAGCGTTGCCTGAAGCTCGAGCAGGTCTCTCCATCACACACACCCTCGCTGATTTCTCTGCTCTCTGCCCCCCTGCCCTCCACCCCTGCAGGTGCACAAGATCTACCGGGGGGCCGGCGGAAGCTTCCAGAAGGCGCAGACGGAGTGGAACACGGGCACTTGGCGGAACCCGCCGTCTCGGGAGGCACAGTACAACAACTTCTCGGGGAACAGCCTGCCCGAGTACCCCACCGTGCCCAGCTACCCGGCCGGCGGCAGCCAGTGGCCTTAGATGGAGCGGCCAGCCTGCCTCCCCCCCCACTCCTGCTGCCACCCTGGGTCCCCTGAGCCCCTAAGCCTGTACCCCTGCCCTTTCCAGGCAGCGGCTCGGCCCTCCCCCAGCTGGGACGGCAGGAGGGGCTGGTGGACTAGGGCTCCCAGCCGGGCGGGCGGACCCTGGGGGCTCTCGAGGACCCACACCCACCTTCATCTTAGTCCCAAGAGCCGAGCTCCTTGCAGACACTGCCCAGAGCTGTCCAGCCTCTGCCGTCCAGCAGAAGGACGCTCCTTCTGCCCCCAAAACATTTGCCCCAAAACAGTGTAGTGGCCACACCCTCTCCCCTCGGGGTCTCGGCGGTCGCCGCATGCCCAGGAAGAGGGAGGCCTTGGCACCAGATTCTGGGCCCCTCCGGGCGACAGAGGGACTTGATGTATAGTGGGGTCGTCCATATCTCTGTCCTCCCAAGTCCCCGCCCACCTGCAGTAGGAGGGCTCACGGGGATGAGCCCTTGGGGACGGCCAGAGCCGGCTTTGCCGCCTCTGTGCAGTGATCTGAGCCCCTGTCTGTCTGTCCATCCACCCCGGTCGCTCTGCGCTGCGCTCCTTGGCTGCTGTGGGGCCAGCTTGCCTCTGGCCTTCCTGCCCACGGTCACTCGCGTCCACAGACGCGCGCTCTTCCCCGTAGTGGTTTAGAGCTCCAGTGCCCTGGTGTGGTTACAGGAGAGAGGCCCCACTACCCCCCGCCCGTACCGGGACAAAACCTGGGACGGAATCCCTTTGGGAGAGGAGAGGGACCGTTGGCCTCTGCCCCCACCCCCACCCTCAGCGTGCAGACAGAGGAAAACAGGTGGCGTCTTGAGGTCACTGCCTGCCCCAAGGCCGGGCGTCGGAGGGTGATGCTGGGCCGGCTGCTCAGGGGCTGCGGGGCCACACGGCCCTTTTCTGGATCTGCAGGAAGCAGGAGATTGAGTTTCTCAGGAGAGCGGCCTTTTAGGAGATGACATGACCCATCTCTGTGCCTTATTGAGGAATCTGAACAGCCGTCACTTTGCTCTGCTCCCCTCCTCCGATTCTTCTAGCTCCTTCCAGACCAGGGGACCGAGCACCCCGGGGGGGGTCACCACAGCACCTGCGTGAGCAGACGGACCAAAGGAGGCCTCTTGGTGGCCGCTTAGCCCATGCTGGCCAGGCTTCCCGGGTGCCCCGACGCTGCCCCTTGGCCCCTTCCTCCCGACACCCCGCTCCGCTGGACACCCGCCTCTCCAGAAGCCCCCGGCCCGTGGGGCCGGACCTGTTCCCCGCACCCGCGCTTGCTTGCCTTAGCTACTTGTGCCGTGGTCCCTGGAGAAAGTGGCTGCGTCCAGGTCCCCAGAGGACGAGGCCTCCGGATGGAGACCCCAGCCTCGGGTCTCCTGGCATCCCGTAACACCCCCGAGCCAGCCTCCTGCACTGAGAGGCTCACGCTGTGCTAACCGTGGGGCTGAATCTCGTCATGACCCTAACGCCAATGGTGACAGCCCGTTCACCAGGTGTCACCAGGCATAGGAGGAACACCGTGCATTCGCCCACAGCACCCTCCCCCGTGCCCCCCACCGTATTTGGCACCTTTGTTAATACATGGTAGTTAGTGGTTTTTGTTACCTGAAAATATCCTGGAAATAAATACATTTTTTCTGCATCGGACTGAGCCTCCTTCCGAGGGGGCTGTTTGTGGCGTGTGTGTGTGCATGTGTACCCGCCTGGGCCTTCGTCCCGTCGTAGGATCGCAGCACACACGGCCTCGAGCAGAATAAACCAGGAGCAGCCTGTGCACCCGACCCCGGGCCCTGTCATCGAGGTGGCCGACACCCCCACACACCCCGCAGTGGGTCTCACGGGCTGTCCCCACCCGTGGCCCCTGCCCCGATGTGGCGCCTGAACCTCCCTGCGCCCCGAGAGAGGAGCCCAGCATGGCCCAAACACCTCCTCCTCATGCCCTGTCCACGCATCGCCACGGTGGACGCGGGAGGGAGGGCGGGGGTCTGTTATTCCACAGGACATTGTCACCACAAAGCGGAAGGAAACCAGACCCACACAGAGAAACCTGACAGCCCAGAGCAATTGGTGGCTTGAACTGTCCCCCCAAATTCACATGTGGAGGTGCTGACCCCAGCACCTCAGAAGGGGCTCATTTGGATAGAGAGTCGTCGTAGACGTGTCGTCAGTTACAACGAGGGCGTGAGGGTGGCCCCTAATCCAGTGTAACCGGTGTTCTGGTAGAAGGGACATCTGGACAGACGCACACAGAGAGCCCCACGTGAAGATGGAGGCAGAGATGGGGGTGACGCATCGACAAGCCAGGGAATGCCGAAGATGCCAGTGACCCCAGAGCCAGGAGAGCATGTGACAGCCCCAGGAAAGGAGCAAAGAAGTCAGGGAACCGAGGACAAAAGGCTGAGAGCACAGTGCTCCGGGATGTGCCAGCCACACAACGCAGGCCTGGAGGATGGAGAGTGGGCGGGGCTCAAACTACAGGGATTTATTCTCCCAGTTCTGGAGCCAGAGGTTCCAGGTCAAGGTGTGGCAGTGCTCCTTCCAGAGGATCCTGGGGAGGGTCCTTCCTGCCTCTTCCAGCTTCTGGGGCCCCAGGTGTCCCTGGGCTCGAGGCCACGTCTCTCCCATCTCTGCCTCCGTCTTCACACGGCTTCTCTGTCTGTGTCTCTGTGTCTACGTCTGCCCTTCTGTCTCTTGTAAGGACACCATTGTTGGATTTGGGGCCTACCCTAATCCGGGATGATCTCATCTCGAGATCCTTAATTACATCTGCAATAACCGTGTTTCCAAGTAAGGTTACCAGTCCCGGGACATGGACCCGTCTCTGGGGGCCACCACTCAGCCCCTGCAGGGGGAACCGTGGGCTTCGGAGAGGGAGGAACAGCAGAAGGTGGCCCAGGGTGGGAGCGGACGCCGGCCAGGCCCTGCTGAGGCTGCACCAAGGTTGCATGGCCGTAGGGGATAGTGTCCCTGGGCCGGGAGGAGAGCTGCGTTCATGGTGCCACGGGTGCACAGCCGTGGGGACCTCAGGCGAGGATGGGGGAGGGGACTTGGGGACGCCTGGGGAGGTTTCCTGTAGGGGGAAGCTTGGGCTGAGAGGACTCCTCAGCAGGATCTGGAAGGGAGGCGCTGACTTTGGCCAGGAGCAGGGACAGGCCACATCTAGTGACAGGAGGCTGGTGGACGAGGAGGGCCCCGTCACTAGTGATTGGTGGCTACTTGCCCATTTCTTGTGAGCCTTCCCTTAGCTCCAGGTCTGTCCCCCTCGGCACTGGGGACACTGGGGGCGGGTCATTCTCTGTGGGGCCGTGCTGGGTGCTGTGGGGGGGAGCTGCATCCCTGGCCCCCGCCCACTCGATGCCAGGAGCACCCCCAGTGTGACAACCACAGACGTCCCCAGACATTGCCCAGTGTCCCCAGTGGGCACGTTCACCTCGGGCGAGACTCCCTGCTTCAGTGGAAAGAGTTGACCTGGCAAAATCGTTGCTTATGGGAATCAAGCGCAGCAACTGAATTAGAAAAATTAATGGAGATTTTTTTTTTAATCTGATCGAGGGATCGAGTCCTAGTTACATAGGAAAGCGTCGATCCTGATGTAAGTAATTTCTGGGAGTAAGAACAGGAAGGCAAGTGGAAGCGACTTCACTCTGCTGCAGAGAAAACGCATGATTGATCAGGATGACGTTTGATGTGCAGGGTTCACTCTGAACCTCTTTTCTCAGAGAAAGCTTACAGCGTGGGAGGGTAATTCGCTCGTGGATGCCCTGCCTCCATCAACGCAGACCCAGTGCTGGGCGGGCGGGAAGGCCATGGCGGGAGTGCCGGGCGTGGATCAGGCTCCCGGGGCGGCAGCAGTGGAGGCCCACGGGCGGGGGGCTCCAACTCTGGAGCTGGATGCCCGAGGTCCAGGCATCGGCAGGGCCGTGTTCCCTCTGAAATCTCTGCGGGAGGATCCTTCCTGCCTCCCCCAGCTAGCTGACATTAACATTTGTTAATGTCATTAAAAAAAATTTGTTACATTTTAACATTAAAAAAAATTTTTTTTTTAAGAAAAAAAGGATGAGTGGCTTTGTTTTCATTTTGGCCATCTCTTGAACATCTGGCTTCATAAAGAATGGCTAGATTGCCCCGTCGGCTGCTGCATTCACTCTGTTGCAACATGATGTTTTGGCCCCAAGACAAACATAGCGGGCAAAAGGTTTCTCTAGGAGGTGGGAGGGCAGGAGCTGGTGGGGAGGTGGCAGTGGGCTGGTCACAGCTGCAGACCCCTTGGGAGGCACTGAGACCCTGTCTCGGGTTGTCCGTCCATGCGGGTGGGGGAGCTGGGGCATTTATCCTCTAGCTCCCAACAACCCAGCGGGGGGCTGGGGCCTTGACTCTGCCCGCAGGTGAGAGAGTGGAGGGCGCTGGTCTGCATGCGTGTCCATGTGTGTGTGTGTGTTCCAGGTGCGTACATGTGTGTGTGTGTTTTGTTGTGAGTTGAATTATGTCCCCCACTCCCAATCATATGTTGAAGTCTTAGCCTGCAGGACTTCAGAATGTGACCTTATTTGGAAATAGGGTCTTTACAGGAGGGATTATTATTATTTGTGTGTGTGTGTGTGTGTGTGTGTGAGAGGAAGATTAGCCCTGAGCTAACACCCGTCACCAGTCCTCCTCTTTTTGCTGGGGAAGACTGGCCCTGGGCTAACATTCGTGCCCATCTTCCTCTACTTTATGTGGGACGCCACCATAGCATGGCTTGACAAGCGGTGCGTAGGTCCACACCTGGGATCCAGGCCTGCAAACCCTGGGCCGCCAGAAGTGGAGCACGCAAACCTAACCACTATGCCACTGGGTTGGAGGGATTATTTGAGTTAAAGTGAGGCCACACTGGAGCAGGGTGGGCCCTAATGCAATGTGACTGGTGTCCTTATAAAAGGGGGACATTAGGACACAGACACGCACACAAGGAGAAGGCCACGTGAAAACAGAGGCAGAGATGGGGTGATGCTCCTACAAGCCACGGGACACCAAGAACTGCCAGTGACCCCCAGAAGCTGGGAGAGAATGGGACAGATTCTCCATCAGAAGGACCCAGCCCTGCTGACACCCTGATCTCGG